TCAGGAGGAATAAGCTCATCAGGATTCTGGGTGTGCTGTCAGCATCCTGCACACAGCTCCTCCAAAGCAGACACATCATCTTCTGCAAACTCCTTCTCCTACTGACTGCCCCAGGCACTGAAATGTCAAACGCCAGCCAATCAAGTATCTATTCCAGCAGATGATACCTACTTCGCAATCTCTCTAGAATCAGTCCCTTCTTTTCCATTTCTACTGCCAAGTTCCAGCCTTCATCAGGTCTCACCTGGACCCTATTTAGTTTTCCATTTCTTCCCTCCCTTCTTTTTTTGTCCCCTTCTGACCCAGCCATACCCTCTGCTGTCAGTCTGCCCTCTGCCTGCTCAGAAAGTTGTCAGAACTAAGTACTCCCTTTCCCACCTGCCAATTCAAGTCTTTGTCTAGCATCTTTCTGGACTGATCTTTTGCAGTGTCCATTTCCTCTTCTTCTTCTGGGAACTTTAGTTTTCGGTACAGTCTGGAGGGACTGCCTACCGTGCTACCAGCCTGACCAAGAGCAGGAACGTGGCCCAGGCTGGGCCAATGAGGCATTTCCTCCCTTGGATGGGAATCCAAAGCTGTGGTGACAAAAGTACGGAGCACAGATGGAGCATATTTATCCTGGTGACATGAAGAGTCTGGTCTTTGGTTCCTATGTACCCACTTTAAGACCCTGAAGGGGACCTGGGTCCTGAGTCATTTCACTGATTCTGGGAGTTCCCTTAGCCTTCCAAGGAAGTCCTCTTCTGCTGAAGTTGGCCAAGTTGTTGCTTATAACCAAACAGGATCTTCTCACTGCTTTTTGAAATACATCTCCTATGCTCCAATCAAAAGGGAAAACTCCCTAAAAGCGCTGTGATGGCCACACTCTGCACCTGTTGGCCCACACACCTCTCCAGCCCACAGGCACTACTGGAACTCCACCTGCCCCTTCCAGGCCCAACCTAGAGGCCTCTTCTGAGCCCTCTGTGGAGATGACTTCTACCTCCTTCAAACTTATAAGCAACTGGCTGCCCCTTCTGCCTTCCCCTGTAGACACAGGTATACCTGCTTTATCCCCCTCCCAGAGGACAGTGACATGGTCATTGTCTCCTCCACATCACCCAGCATAGTTCTAAGCTCAGTAAAATTCACCAGGCTCTGGGGGCAGACAACCCAAAGGCTAGGCAATGCAGATAGTGAGTAACAAAGGCATGGAGTGTGCCATCAGAATGACCTGAGTTTGAATTCTAGGTCCTCTACTTACTAGCTGTCTGAGTTTGGGCAAGTTTCCAAAGTTTTCTGAGTGTCAGTTCTTCATCTACAAAATAGTGACAATGTTGCCAACCTCACAACATTGTTATGAGGATTTGATGAGCTGACATGTGAAAGCCTCTAATATTGTGCCTGGTTAGTAGTAAGTGCTCAGTCAACAGCAGCCATTATTCCAGCTATTGTGGCTACTGGTTTAGCAGATGCTCCGTCAAAAGGCTGGGGCCTGCTATGTGATACACAGTACATCCCTCTGCTCCTCAGCAACTCACCAGAGTCTATATCTGCCTATCAACCTCCCCCAAAAAATAACAGGTAGAAAATGCGTTGCACAATAAAAGCACAATGTAAGGAATTTCTTCCACTTTTCTAAATTTCAGTGATTCCCAGTAGCCCTATCTAGTGTGCAACCATGGCAGGTTCTGTCTTGCAGGTACCACAACTGCTTGGTCTGAGAGACAGGGACAGAGCAGATGAGGGCCTGGTTCAGTATCTGCTTCCCCATGTCCATGCAGACACCTCTCTTCCAAAGCCCTGATTCTTAAATGTCCTGCTTTTGTGGGGTCTTCCTTCAACTAACCATGGGGCAGTGCCTGGTATGTGATTAGAGTGGAACTGAGACTGCAGGTACCACAAGTCACCCCTACCAGTAACCTAGCCAACACTGGGAAGAAGGGGAATGAAAGGAAAAAAGCCAATCCAGCCCGGCCGGTGTGGCTCAGTGTTTGAGCACTGACCCATGTACCAAGAGGTCGCCGGTTTGATTCCCAGTCAGGGCACATGCCCAGGTTGTGGGCCCAATCCCCCGTGGGGGGCATGCAGAAGGCAGCCAATCGATGTTCTCTCTCTTTGATGTTTCTATTTCTCTCTCCCTCTCCCTTCCTCTCTCTCTAAAGATCAATAAAGCAAAAGAAAAATCAATCCAGTGAAGCTGCCAGAATAAGTAAGACTGGGTGGGGACACAAGGTGGAAGTCTCTCTTAAGACTTTTTACACCTGCTTGGATTAATCTCTGAAGCAACTACTCATGGCCCCAAATCAGGGGCTCTCAAAGTGTTAGCTCCAAGGAGCTGGGCAGAGATACAAATTATAGGCCCCACCCAGGCTAACTGAATCAGAAAACTCTGGGAGTGGGGTCCAGAAATCTGTGCCTTGAATAGCCAATTATCCAGGGGATTCCAATACCTGGTTAAGTGTAAGGAATCCTGTCCTAAACCTGTAACCATAGGACCCTCAAACATTTACTGAACACCTACCATGTGCTAAGGAGCAAGCCAGGTTGTGTTATTTCAGAAATGAGGACGCATTTGAAGAATTTCCAGTCTAACAGAGGCCAAAATCAAGTACACAAATTCACAAGGCAGGATATGGTATAGAACAAGGCAAAGGAATTAGTTTTCCACCACTTTCCTTAGACCCTTTTATCCCTCAAATTTTCTCTTGCTATGACTGAGGAAAAGAGAACACTTCCTCACACCCCCCCCCCCCCCAATGCTGCTCTTTTGGACTCTTCAATCACAGGTAACTTACTTTCTTTCTTTCTCTCTCTCTCTCTCTCTCTCTCTCTCTTTCTTTCTTTCTTGTTAATCCTCACCGGAGGATATTTTTCCATTAACTTTTACAAAGAGTGGAAGGGAGGGAGGGGGGAGAGAGAGAGTGAGAGAAACATCGAGGTGAGAGAGACACATCAATTGGTTGCCTCTTGCACAATCCCAACAGGGACTGGGGATCTAACCTGAAACCCAGGTATGTGCCCTTGACCGGGAATCGAACCCGCAACCCTTCGGTCCACAGGCCGACACTCTAACCACTGAGCCAAACCGGCCAGGACAAAAGTAGCTTTCTTAAGAGTGATTCTTGCCCTGAGGTATGTCTCAGGTCTACAGGCTTGGCATGTGGGGAAATGTTCCCATGTGGCCACACCCCATGATTCCTAGGGGCTTAGAAATTGGCCCTACCTGGGGTTTGGGCTCAGAAAGTTCATAGAGGTCTGTGAGCATGCCACAGCACATCAGAGCAATGCATTCCCAGGCAGGGTCACTCCCACTGGCCCCTGGCAAACTTGCACACAAGTGTGCATATGCAGATGTAAACACACACACAGACAGTTGGCCCCCTGGCCTCCCTTCCTCCAGTCTCAAGTTACAAGGTTAAAGGCATCCTATTCTCAGCCAAGGGGGAGGGATGCAAGAAGGGGTGCTGAAGCAGGGAACCATCTGGTTCAGATCAAGATTGCTCATTCAGGATCCAAACACACTCCCAGAGCCTTCTGACGGTTCATAGATTTCCCTCTCTCTCCCAACTTCCCACTGGGAGACTGAGCACTGGGGTAGAAAGAGACAAGACAAAAGCAAATCTGCTGAAAGAAGACAAAAACCAAAAAATTGAATTATACAGGCAAGTCTATGCCACCTCACTGAGCCCTGGTTCCTTGTGCACCTCAAATCCTGAACACTATGACTAAACTTGAGATTGCTGCCTACACCTATAGAGATGGTGTCTTCGTCCACAAAGAGCTCAGGGCAACTGGTAGGCAGTCTTCCCTGAACCCAAAACCCCCAGCTGCTAAAGTTAGCAGCTGAAGCAAGTTGAGGCTTAGGGGTGTGGTCTCCCAGATTCCTCTTATGCCACCATCTCCGCCAACATAGAAGGTTCCCTCCATCTCAGAGGGACTTTGGAGCCCACTAGATATAATATGAAGAAGGGACAGGGACAACCAACCAGCTTCTAGACAACTGTCCCAAAGACAAGATGGGAGTGTGAGTTACTGGCTAGGAATGACTGTTTCCCTGAACCCCTCTCGGCAGCTTTGGCTGAAAGAGGCTATGATTCTTTCCTGCCACCAGCACCTCTCTCCCCTTTCCCCTAATACTACCTTAGACTGTTCCACAGTGTCTTACGCAGCTGTAAAGCAAGGTAAAATGGGAGATGGATGTGGTTGGCAAGAAAGATAAATTGAAAGGCTAACTTGAGCAAACAAGCAATTGGTTGGTGACTCTCTACAGGTAGAGAGGGCCAGAGATGGGATATGAGAAGGGTGGGGTGGGGGAACAGACGTGGTAGAAAGCTAAAAGGGAGGCTAAAGTGAGCTCTGCCCAGAGCTGCCGCAGAGGGCTGGGAAGTTTGGTTCAGTCACAGAGGAATGACTGGAAGGAAGAAATGACTCTTCCATTCAGAGGGGTGGGCTCAGGCCACCCCATACAGGACTGAGACATGGCCTTGGGCAAGTTCCTGGCTTGTGCTGTGCCTCAGTTTCTCCAAAGTGGGAAGGAGGTCAAGCTGTTATGTCTTAACAGAGAGAACTGGACTATTGGGGGTGGCTAGCGGGGCACTGCCAGGTAGGAGAAAGGAGACGCTAATAGTGCAAAGGCAGCCTCTGACCAAGAAAAGTGGGGCAGGGGTCTCCAGAGTGTAGAGGCCAGCAGCGCGCGGGATTGGGGGTACGAATTAGGCAGGCGGGGCTTCCCCGGGCTGGGGCTAGGGGCTGCCACCAAGGAGTGGAACAGCCGTGCCTGGAGGACTGGGAATAGCTTGATGTGCAGAAGCAGAAGGCGGGGATAGGGATTGAGGCCAATGCAAGCGGACCCGCGCCCGCATGGGGGAGCCCAGCGCCCCTACCCGGGGGAAGTTGCCGGGATGGACCGGGCCGGTCTGGGCCGCTGGGCCAAGCCAGCTGCCCGCGCAGAGAGGGTTCGGAGCAGCGAGGGGCCCGGGGCGTCCCGCATCCCGCCCACCCTCATCCCGCCCGCGCACCTCAGCCAGCGCCGGGCGCCGCGCGGGTCATGCTTGCCGCTCCTGCCACCGCCTCCACCCGTGCGGAAAGCCGCCGCCGCCGCCGCCGTCTGGACCCGTTAGCTCTGCCGCACACTGGTTCGCCCGCAGCGGGCCAGTCCCGCCCTTGCCGGCCCTGCCCTACCCGGGAGAGAGCCGCCGCCGCTTCAGCCCGGCCCCTCCCCCCACCCCAGCCCGCCTTGAAGAGAAGGGTGGGGGAAAGGGGGGCAGCTGCCCCCTCCCCATTCACATCCTCTGGTCTTGCCCCTCCCTCCTCTCCCGCACGCGCACAGGCATGCTGGGATGTGTAGTCCCGCTGCCGCTGAGTTCATAGGGTGTCACGCATCCAGGACTACTACTTCCAAAAGACAGCGCGTATGTGCCCTTGGGATTTTGGGATTTGTAGTTCTGTCTGGGCTCCGGGGGTCTACTGCACATTAAGGGATGCGGGGGGGGGGGGGGTGTCTCCGTTCCCAGGAGGCCGGGATCCCAGCGTAGCATGTGGGGTGTGCAGTGCCCTGGGCCCTGGTCGAATACCTGGATTCCCAGGAAGGTGCAAACTAGTCTAGGACTCTTCTCAGATGCGGCTGTGGACAGCTGCGGCCAGCTGCGGCCGAGCCCGGCTGGAAAAGTCTGCGCCCGGAGAACCGCACCCCCGGTACCTTTTCCACTTGCGCACGCGAATAGCCATGCCCTGAGGCTAGCCTGCCTTCATGCCCGGGCTCTGCCATCCAGAGCTGCAGTTGAGCTGCTGCGTCCAGGCCCCAGCAGAGAGAGAGCTCCCGGCGCTACATGGATGGGCATGGGGTTTTCCCCACCTAGGAAAGGGGGCCCAAGTGTCTGTGGGATTGCTGGAGCGCTCACCCGCTAGGGCACCCTCCATTCTCATCTCTTTTTCTGTTAGATGCCTACTGTTTAGGGTAAAGTGCACACACTCTAAATATTTTTCCATGTCTTCTCCTTTCCCCACTCTTACAAACCTAGCTCAAATCTTTTATGAAGCTCCAGGTCGACCTCAGTTTCACTCTCCACATTTCATCCCCCTGTAGCAGAGGGAAGGCCTGTAAATCAGTGGTTTCCAAACTTTAGCATGTGTCAGATTCTCCTGGAGAGCTTGTTCAAACAAAGGTTACTTATCTCCCCCACCCCCGGGTTCTGTTTTATCAACTCTAGAGTAGGCATGAGAAATTGCATTTCTAACAATTTCCGACACTGCTGGGCTGGGGAACCACTTTGAGAACTGCTTCTGTTCGTGTTTGTTGGGTAGAGTTCTGACAGTCAGCCCAGTAGAATCTGCTGCCTCTGGGTGAGCTCTGACCTAAAACGGGTGGGGAGCAGGGAATGAAAGGTGAGGAAATGGATTCCTGTCAAGTACCTGAGAATGACTCTCACACCTACCCAGGTAGGCCCTCCTTACCACCTGCTGTCCTGATGTTCTGGGAGCTACAGTCCTCTGAAGGGGAAACTTGTTGACCATCACCCTCAGCCACAATCCCAGACTCTTCTGCTGGAAGGTGAGAAAGATTCTCTACTTGACCAAACTTTAGCCAGGCTTCTCTGAGACCTATTCTTCCCTAGGCCTCCACCGGGGTCTAAAAATTACACTCTGGACACAAATTATTTCATCCACACTCCTCCTCCTACTTTAAAAGACTTAAACACAATAACATGTTTCTAACAGCTCAAGGCCACATCCCTAGGATGACCCTAGCCCCTTTCAAGTGCCTGCCTAAAGCTCAAGGTTGCCTAAAGAATTTACTGTTTGTTCTAGCCAACACCTGATGATAGGCTCCTGGCCACTCCTTTCTTAGAGCATTTACTAAAAAGGACTTGTAATTGTGACTTCTTCCTCTATCCCTTTAAGATGTATATCTATCTTCTACAAGAGTGTCTTTCCAAAGGACCTGAAAGCTATTCCTTTGAAGTGTAATCCTCAGAAAGGATAGAGCCTCTGTCTCCCAGTCTCCATGGGAGGTTAGAATCCTAACCTCAGTAACTTCCAGCAAGCAGAAATAGCTGGTCTAGTCAGCATTTACACTGACCAACCCTTTGTAATTTTTCACTTCCCTGACTCTACTGAGCTCTTGCTCACTTCCTGTGGGATTCTCTCATTCTCCTTTTAAAATGCCCAGTCACTGCCCTGGCCAGTTTGGCTCAGCGGTTAGAGCATCGGCCCGCGGACCAGAGAGTCCTGGGTGCGGTTGCCGCTAAGGGCATGTACCTTGGTTGCAGTTTGTCCCCGGCCCCGACTGGGGTCGTGTGGGTGGCAACCAGTCAATGTGTCTCTCTCATGTCGATGTTTCTCTCTCTCTCTTCCTTCCTCTCTTTCTCCCACTCTATCTGAAGATAAATGCAAAAAATAAAATAAAATGCCTAGTCACCGCTGGACAAGTCCAAGTTGAGTTCAGTTCACACTAGACCCTCTTCCTTATTGCAATAGTTACTACTGGTTAAAACCAGTCCTTATCACCCTTGCCAGTTTTGCTCAGTGGTTAGAGCACTCCCTGGACTAATGAGTCGTGGGTTCGATTCTGGTCAGGGGCACGTGCTTTGGTTGTGGATTGTCCCCAGCCATGGTTGGGGTAGTGCAGGAGGTGACCGGTTGGTGTGGGTGTGTCCCTCTCGCATCAATCCTTCTCTCTCTCTCCCTCCCTTCCACTCTGTCTGAAGATAGATGGAAAAATGTCCTCGGGTGAGGATTCAAAAGAAAAAATCAGTCCTTACCACTTTCACTAGTGTCTGTTAGGTAGATTATTCAGAAAGAATTAAAATGCCCTTTCATGGGCAGAACAAAGAGACCCTCTATATTCCTCAGCTCCAATAGGAATCTCCCTCATCACCCTAAATACCTCCCAATTAGATTGGTTCACCTATTTCTCCTTGCTGGTGTGCTTTCCCATCCTCTCCACCCATTCAAATTCTGCCTGACTGTCCAAAGTCTACCTTGAGTTTCCCTTCCTCCAGAAGATTCTTCCCAAGCTGCCTCAGCCCCATGTGAACTTCACCCCTTGTGTAGCACTTGAATTTGCATCATTCATTAAAAGCCTAGCTTTGCCTGGCCAGTGTGGCTCAGTGGTTGAGTGTCAACCCATGCACCAAGAAGTCACCAGTTTGATTTCTGGTCAGGGCACATGCCCAGGTTCTGGGCCCAATCCCCAGTGGGGGTCATGCAGGAGGTGGCCAATCATTGTTCTCTCTTATTGATGTTTCTTTCTCTCTCTCCCTTTTCCTTGCTCTCTCTAAAAATCAATAAAGAACAAAAATTTTAAAAACAACAAAGCCTAGCTTTGCTGGTGAACTGTCCAATGCAAGAGAAGCAGTGGAACAGCAGTGGGACATGGTGGATGACAGCATAGGGCTTTAGAGGCAGACAGCTACTAAGCAAAGTGCAAAGAGGAGCTGGCTCTCTCCCTCCCTAGGTTTCTGTTTGGGGACAGAAACTTAAGTCAGATCAGTCTGGCAGCTCCCACACCTAATGGTATGTTTTTTCATTTGTAAGATGGGAACAATAATAATAATACACCCTACCTTTAAAGATTTAAAATAGAAAAAAATACTATGGCCCTGGCTGATTTGGCTCAGCAGTTAGAGCATCAGCCTACGGACCAAAGAGGTGCCAGTTTGATCCTCCATCAAGGGCACATACCTAGGTTGCAGGTTTTATCCCCCTCCCTGGTTGGAGTTGTGCGGGAGGCAACCATTAATGTGTTTCTCTCATGTGGATCTTTCTTTCTCTCTCTCTCCCACTCCCTCCTTCCCTCTCTTCCCCTCTGTCTAAAAATCAATGGAAAAATATCCTCTGGTGAAAATTAAAACACCAAACAAATAAACAAACAAAAATACTATAATCTTGGATAAGATGATTGTCAAAAAGAAATCAAGTTAATGTATACATTTAATGTGTTCCCAGTACAAATACCAGCAGGTTTTTTGTTTTGTTTGGTTTGGTTTGGTTTGGTTTGGTTTAGAGATGGGAGAGAGAAGTAGATGAATTGATTTTAAAAATTTATTTGGAGCCCGGTCGGTGTGGCTCAATGGTGAATGTCAACCCATACACCAAGAGGTTGCCGGTTCGATTCCTGGTCAGGGCACATGCCCAGGTTGTGGGCCCGATCCCAAGTAGGGGATGTGCAGGAGGCAGCCAATTGATGTTCTCTCTCATTGATATTTCTTTTCTTTTTTTTAATTTTTTTTTTTTATTGATTTTAGAGAGGAAGGAAAAGGGAGAGAGAGAGATAGAAACATCGATGAAAGATAACATCAATTGGCCACCTCCCGCATGTCCCCCACTGGGGATCGGGCCCACAATCTGGGCATGTGCCCTGACTGTGAATTGAACCGGTGACCTGTTGGTGCATGGGTCGATGCTCAACCACTGAGCCACACTGGCTGGGCTCTCATCGAGTTTTTATCTCTCTCTAAAATCAATAAAGAAAAAAAATTTTTAAATTCATTTGGAAAAATAACAAGCAAGACTAGTAAGGAAATGTCTGAAAAACGAACAGTAGTGAAGAGTGTTAGCCCTGTCAGGTGTTAAACATATTATAACGGTACAGTTAAAGTAGTGTGATAGATTCATGACATAGACCTGCAGATCTAGAAATAAACTCAAATACTCATGGAAATTTGGCATATGGTAAAGATAAATGTCAAATAAGTAAGGGAAAAAATGAATTATTCTAGAAATAGTAAAGGAACAATTGGGGAACCATCTGCTAAAAAATTAGTTCAACTCTGAATAAATTAGCGGATCTAGGCAAAAATCAACAAGACAACCAATATCATGAAAAATGTAGACAACTGGATTTATCTGAAGACAAACATAACTAACTAACCCCAATGGACGTATGATACTCGGAAAATGGTGTCAAAAAAAGAAATCAGCCCTGGCCAGTTTGGCTCAGCGGTTAGAGTGTCGACCTGCAGTCCGGAGAGACCCGGGTTCTGTTCCCGCTAAGGGCACGTACTTCGGTTGCAGTTTGTCCCCGGGCCTGGTT